GGAGTTGCAGATTCAATCCCGTCCTTTGAAATAAATAAATATCCTTTCCCCACCTCCTCCCCAGTTGTCTACCATGTGCATCCATCCCTACATTTGATCTGCACACCTACAAATTTTTAAGCATAATTTTTATTTAGCACTTGATTTGTGCCAGCCACTGTTAAAAGTGCATCATACACATATATTTCCACTTTATAAAGTAACTAAAGCTAACTTGCACAAAGTCACATAACTTAATTGGCAGAGCTGTGATTTGGACCCAAGCAGTTTACTTCAAGAATCTGCACTTTTAACCAACATTCTCTTATTAAAGATTATTGTAAATATTTTAAAATATAATTTTTCTTAATTATTAAATATAGTTAAAAATATATATGAAAGGGTACCCCCCAAAAAAACCAGAATTGTGCTGGGCTGAACGAAGCTTTCATTGTATGCATTTTTCCTGCTAGGCAAGCATCCAGCAACCCCCTCTGAGTTACTGCATCCAATGGCAGGGTCTGGGAAGGTTCTCTCTGGTCACAGTGAATTTTTTTCATAAAAACAGTTTCGCTTGAACCTCGTTTTTTGTGAGGGCCAATTTAAGGGCTGTGTGGCTCTGAAATTTTGTTTCCTGCTTAGGAAAAATGCTGCAGAAACTGTTGTGATGTTGAACACATCTTACAAGGACAGACCTCATTCTGGATATCCATCTATTTCCCAAATGGACAAAAATGTTGACTTGTAGTGCATTTGGAGCTCATTACACCAGGTCAGACTGTTAATCAAGTATTCTATTTTGAGGTTCTGTAAAGATTACGTAACAGTGTGGGACAAAGAAGATCTAATTTGTGGCAGACAGGGCACTGGTTTTGCCAATATGACAATGCACCTGCTTATGCAGCCACCTCAGTGTGCCAGTTTTGGGCAAAAAACAGCATTCCTCTCTTGCCCCACATACCTAACTCACCTGACCTTGCTCCATGTGACTTCTTTCTATTTCCATGAACGAAAAGGGACACGAAAGGACAGCGATTTGATAACATAGAAGATGAGTTAGTTTATTGTGCCAACTTGGCCAATAAACACATGTTGGGTTAATTGAAGGGTGGAGGGATAAATGGCTCAGTGAGCCTCGCCTTTCTAGTTCTCAGGTTTCTTGCTTTGTGATGGTCGCAGCAGGGTGCAGCTGCCTTAGCAGTTCCCTGCTTTAGCTTGCAAGGCTGACTTCCTGCAAGACATCCCTGAGGAGAAGCCACATGGACCTACCCTGATACAGCCCTGGGTGCTGG